CTACGTAAGCGTATCCCTACTAATGGACTTTGTCATACGCAACTGAGAAAAACCATGTAAACATTGACAACGATACAAAAGCATCTACACAGTTCGGTTTACAATAAGAGTGCTAGTTTATTAGACTGCGTAACTCATTTTTTTTCGTCTGATTAAATTATCGCTGATCTATGGCAAAATATTCCAATCGGGAGTATATTGCTTGCTTTGGGAGCTTGCAATGCTAATGCCAGTACAGCAAATAGACTCTACGCTGATCGATTTCCAAATCTTCGTCATCCCGATCGGAGAGTCATACAAAGAGTGGAGCAAACAAAGCATTTCTGTCATGCATTTTATCTTCAATGTTCATTGGTGATCAGAAAGAAATCCTGGTGTTTATCGCGAAACCTACATTATTTATATAGTTGGAATAATTCTTTTCATTGCGCGTTAAACGCTAGAGAATGAAAGCGCGGGAAACGCTCCCACTTGAGTTGTAGATGGCGCTGATACATTACAGCCTCGTTTATTATATTTTAATATTCTTCTTTATATCATTAGANAAACAGAAGAATGACGAAAAGTAGAAGTAATTTCTCTTAAATGTGGAGAGAAGACAAAAGAAGTCTAATATTTGCTACTTTAAGTTATTTCCGGTATTAAGAAATCACTTTTGTAGCACTCAAAAATAAATTAGTCACTGGGAAACTATCCCAGTTAGAATCCCCTTAGAACTACTAAGAATAAACTGAAAATCTGTATTCAGTCATAAAAATTGAAATCACACTCTTCCCCAAATATAAGAAGATTAGGTTATGTTAGATACTCCCGTGATTTACCGAAGAATCCAGATTTATCATGGACTTCGTAGGAGCCATTGTTCTCTGAAATTTCTCTCTTACTTGAGAATATAGAATTATATTCTCGACCAGCGAAACTTATTTCCATCCGATTGACAAACAATCCCTAGACATTTAAATTAGGAGATCCAGTAAATATTTTAGTAACAATCTGTGTTTCTCCAAGTTTCTCGTTAAAATGGTTGTAAAAATAAGCGTGGAATGACATCAGTTATCGATTCCCACAGTTGTGTTTGAATACCGGAACTTCTCCGGAGTTTCTGATACATCAACTGCTATTAAGAAGCGACAGGAGCCCCGAGTTTACCGAGCCTTAATTAAGATTCCAAGTTCTACCAACGGGTACCTACTACATTAAAAAGTATCAAAGTAAACGAGCGGGGAAATTTAAAATCTGGCAACTGACGAACAAGTCACGCTCGTTACGAAATTTTACATCCACACATTATGTCAACTTAATTAAGTCCACTCTGATCAATTCTACTACAGCCTTTCTTTGTAGATTCAAATAATAATAATAATAATAATAATAATAATAATAANCCCCTCTTCGCCCATGCCGGCCGCGTCTCAGATGAGTTGAACGCAAGAAGCCCGCATAACCCACCGTGCCACTTCCGATACCTCCCCATCCGCCCCGACGAGCTTCCGCCGTTTAAGGCGTCTCCAGTTTCGCGGAGATATTCCTCTCGACAGTCTGCGTCTGCAAGACACAAGTTTTTTGTTCCGAAACTACCACCCGGTTTTGCAATCCCCTACGCGAGGGACGCATATTCGATTCCGACGAAACTAATTTTACTTCGTACGTTCTTTTATTACCTCTGAAAAGCAGATCGACAGTACGAGAGAAGCAATAGTACCACGATGGAACTTATGATACTCCCGCGAATTCATCGTTCTCAAATGAGATGCGCGGATGCTTAATGAAAACCAAACTGTTGCAGGGATTCTGTTGATTCAGGGGGGAGGGAACTCTTGCAGGAATATCGAGCAAACCCGACGATGGGGATAGATGTTGTCAGCATCCACCGTCATATTTGGTCGCACGCATACGCGCGCGGGACGAAGCCGCGGCCGGAAACGGCGTAGCTTTCGTACATGCGTACACGCAGTATGAAAGGTCAATACATCAACGAGCCGGAGGAGCACCGCGCACGGAAAGCCGTTCGTGTTTCTGTTAGGGGCTGCACACCACCACCAGGCAGCGGCAAGTCGGTTCTATTTACATACCAGGGTTGCTTTCGCCACCCTGCATACACTGCGCCAAACAATTATTTGCATTCCTGGTGCTAATACCCCGCCGACGTTACCGGAACGCCGCGCGGTGCAGCAGCACTTTCGCTCCCGAGTCATCTTTCTCGTTCTGATTCGCGGCTCCGCTGGCTCCTTCAACCGGGAGGAAAGGGACGGCCGCTAGGGAGAATAATGGTTATGGTAAAACAACGAGGCGCTCTATTGAAAACGCGTCTAATGCGGCTATCAAGTCGAAATGGAAGTTCGTTACTACCACTCTCTCTCTCCCCTCTTTCTCTCCTCTTCTGCTCGCTACACTCTCAGCTAGGCACTCTTTCATCTTTTTCTCTTTCTTTTACTGAACTACATTTATTACTCTCTCTTTTTTTTACTGTTTAGTTTCAATAGATATAGCTAACCATCATGGCGACGCGAAGCCATGGATTATACTCGTATTTGCGCTTTGACGCCGTGTTGCTCTGAACTTATCTCTTGTATTATTTCTTTCCTTATTTCTCTGTTACTATTTTCTTATCTTTTCTTCTTATCTGCACTACTCACATCTGCTATTGTAAACCATTATCATTGTTATTTCTCTTATTGTTATTGCCACAAAACTGAAGTTAGGAAACGGTAACGTTGACTAAAAAGTTCGTCGCGAGGCGAACGGTAATAATTCTTTCTATGCGAACACGAAGATGGTTCGACCGAGCGAGTACACGTGGGATGTGATTAATTTACGCGTTTCCTGTTTCAACGGCAATCGTTTGATTACGCGAGCTGCCCGCGCGTCTGTCCGCGGGGCTTTTCATTAAATACGATGATCCGCGGTAGCGAAGAATCCTCAACGGTTAAAAGGAGAGATATCGATGTTAGGTTACTTTACTCTCTACTCCTCGGCCCGTGCCTTTGACGACCGGCTCGTGGAGCATCTGCTAGTTCGTTAACGATCCAGGCGGACGGTAAAAGTGGAATTTTAGTGATTTTAATTGGAGCGGTTGTAAGTCCATCGGAGGGATCGAGTGGAGTTCTTTAGTTCTCAGGTTTGAAGACACCCTTGAGGTTCCTCAAGAATTGATTTCGAAATTGGTTAGAAATACCGCGGTTATCAATGCACTAATTGCGTGGCTTATTAAATTTTCAGCTGCCGGCCCAAGTGAATAATAACGGAAAATAAGTAGAAAACTGGCGCGTGCTTCATTTCCGACATTCCAATTAAACAGGAATTACCAAATTAAATTTAGATTGCCCTAATTTTCAATCCTCTGGCTTTTGAAAAAGAATTATAATAGAACCCAGGAAATGGGGGGGCCGGGGAAAGGGTTCCTCTAATTATTTCTAGCGGGCACGTAGCGAGGACCGATTTACCTGTAACCGGCAAACAATTCAGCTTCGATATGTAGGGGACTTCATTAAAATTTAACGAACGCCGCTCGTTTGTCGGAGCGCGTGCCGCGTGAAAACTGTGTCGAAATAAAAGCGGACGCCAACTGGTGTGAGCGCTATGTACTGTGGCCCGCCACCTTTTTGTGTTCACAGCGTTGCAGCGTAAGCCTCGCTGCGCTTAAC